GAGATTGGGTGTTGTGTTGGGTCCGTAGGACTTCGCCGAACCGCCTAGCTTCCGGTAGGTGGCATGGGCCCGGCCGTGTAATCTGTCAAGAGGGATCTTCCGTTGTGTGGATTTCTCATGGGACCACTGTTCTGAGATGTCCTCCTGAGAATGTTCGACCAGCCAGCCTTCGTGAATGGCAGCACGTTTCTACAGGTGAAGATGCCCTCCCCAATAGGAATGCCGGGGGAGCCAATGCCTTTCTGGACCTGACCGGTCCCAGTGCTTCTGCGCCACCGACCGCACAGCAAGTCAATCCCGAATCCACTCAGGTCTTTCAGGCAGGAACTCCAAGTGTTCCCGCGCCGCCCCGAGCTCCCGATGAAGATGTAGCCCAGCCCGAACAAGAACTAACTCCCCAAGTCTCCCAAGATGCAGATGGCGCAGAAGGTAGCGTTGAAGTTGAGCGCGAGTCTGGTGCCAACCAGCAGCTTGCTGCCCCTTCCGCACCCTCCGCTTTGCCTGACAGCGTAGCTGTTGACCCTGTGCACATACCGGTGCCCGGGTCAGACGAGGGTTTGCTCAGTGAATCGGTTTGCCTAGCCAGTGAAGACTTAGGGATTCCTGACGATCAGGGTGATCACTTAATCACCTTCACGTCCCTAGAATCAGTAGGCCCTAATCCTGGACCCCCACTTGCGGAAGACGGTATGCCGTACATTGAGCAACCCCTAGAATGCGATGAGCACCAGGCCTTCTGTTTGGAGATTCCCATGAAGGCCAAAAGCTACCGGCAATGTTTGCAGGCCCCCCGGGAGCAGATGGCACTGATAGCCTCCATCAGTAAGCGTGCTCGATCAGAAGTTTACCTCAAAGACTTAACAGCACGAGAGCGCCTTCTATTTGACCAGGCCAAAGACAAAGAGATCCAGTGCTGGCTGCAAACATCAGCGATTAAGGCGGTGCTTAGGCGTCAACTTAATCCGGATCAAATTCTTCGCAGCAGGTGGATTCTCACGTGGAAGCCTCCCGAGCCTGGGGAATCTCAGAAGAAGGCAAAGGCTCGCCATGTTGTCTTAGGATTCCAAGACCCGAAGCTTGTTGAAGTAATGCGTGACGCCCCCACTCTCTCTCGAGAGGGGCGAGCAACAGTCCTCCAAACAGTAGCTTCCTCGAAGTTCACTCTGACTTCCTTTGACATCAAGACAGCTTTTCTCCGTGGCAAAGCAGATGCCAGCAATCCGCTGGCTATGGAGCCTCCACCCGAGCTCAGACACGCCCTGAACCTTAAGGACTCCGAAGTTTGTCAACTTTTAGGCAATGCCTATGGTAGAGTAGACGCACCCCTACTCTTCTATAAGGAATTGTGTAAGCAGTTGTTGGCATTAGGCTTTACTAGACACCCCCTTGAGCCTTGTGTTTTCATGTTGTACAATGGACAACAACTAAATGGCATCTTGGGCATGCATGTCGACGACGGAGTCGGCGGTGGATATGAAAGGTTCAATGCCAAGTTGCAGGAGCTGGCTAAAACCCTGCCCTTTGGAAGCCGAAAATACAGCGACTTCGTGTTTACTGGCATTCACCTTCAACAACTGCCAGATTATACTATCAGAGCTTCCCAAAGCAGCTATGTCCAAAATATTCCTCAAATTGACATTGGACGCCCCCGTCGCATGACACCGGAGGCTCTAATCAATGAAGCCGAGAGGTCCAAGCTCCGTGGACTTGTGGGAAGTCTGCAGTATGCTGTGACGCATACACGTCCTGACATTGCTGCCAAATTAGGTGAAGTCCAAGGACAGATAACTACGGCAACAGTGCAGACACTCCTGCTTGCAAACAAGGTGTTGAGAGAGGCACAAGAGTATCATCAAGTGTGTACGTACTTCCTCCCCATCAAGCCTGAGGAGTTAACTTTCGTCTCATTTGGCGAGGCGTCGTTTGCATCCTCTAAGAATCTCAATTCCCACCAACGGGCCATAGTATGCGCAACAGACTCTCGCCTTAACCACAACATCGAAGCCCCCTTGTCTCCACTGGCATGGGTGTCCAAGAAGATACCGCGAGTCGTTCGTTCGACATTATCGGCAGAAGCTTATGCCGTGTCCAAAGCAGTGGATCTTCTCGGATGGCTCCGAGCAATGTGGGGCGTGATCCATGTGCCAAACTTTTCGTGGCAAAAAGTGGAGCAAGGCTTCAAAATGCTAAAGCCCGCCATAGTAGTAACTGATTGTAAATCCCTTTATGATTTGGTTACTAGGTTAGCGATGCCTTCGTGTGAGGAGTACCGAACCACCTTAGAAGTTCTTCTTATCAAGCAGAGATGTGAAGAAAATACGGTCTTCAGATGGATTCCCACGACACTGCAAGCAGCGGACAGCTTGACGAAGCCCATGGATGCTTCGCTTCTTCGCGCGGTGTTGTCTCAAGGACGCTCCACGCAACCTTTTTCTTTTTATGTTGTCGTGGTGTTTTCTAGCATGTTGCTTGCACGCATTGTCAACAACCGTTCATGTAGCTCTCTCGGCTGCAGACCCGCATGCGCAGCTTTTTCACACAGCATAGCGCGTGCATCAGCAGCCGTACAAACGACACTTTGCATCTGCAAGTTCTTTTTGCAACAACACGCCTGCCTAGTCCAGAGGGGTAGTTCGAGCCTCGCATGGTTTTTTGGGTGTGCCTGCCCGCCTGGCCTGCACACTCGTTACTTCAAAGCACGCCTTGCCTTTGCCCCCCTAACTCCCTAACCTGCCCGCCCCTCTGCCAGGTACTTGCGCTTCTCCGCCGGCCGCCCGCTCAGACAGCCGCCTGCACTTCTTTTGCCACGCCTTTCGGGCCGCCTGCCCGCCGCCCGCCTTTGCCCGTTCAGGTTGTTTTGCCTTTGCGTGCGCCCGCCTGCGCCACCTTCACCTGAAGCTTTGCTTTGCATTTGCGGGGCCGCCCGCCCTAGCCCTCCGCCTGCCCTAGCCCTCCGCCTGCCCTTGCACAGGTACCTCTGATCTTCGTCATGGAGCCCGCCTGCACCTTCGAAGGCCCGCTTGGCATGCTCGCTTTGCCGGCCTTTCTGCACGCCTGCCCCAGACGCCTTTGTTCTTTGCAGCCTGTGCGCCTGCACTGCTTGAGCTACGAGCCGCCTGCTTGGCTACACACCTAGGGCATGACCGCTAGCTCACGCATGCACGCCCTTGCTTCAGCACAGCTTCAGCACAGCTTGCACAGTCCACACGCTTACAGCTTGGCCGCCCGCCTAGTGCACGCCAGCATGTTTAGATCACTAGCGTAAATTTTCATGCCTGCATTACTGCAAAGCCTCCCTTCCTACGAACTCCTAGCTTGCGCCCCGCCCGCCTGATTACATCTACGCCCGCACCGCCTGCCCCGCTCTACCTGCAACGCCTTGCTTGCCTTTGCTTGCCTGACCGCCCGCGCTGCAATGGCTGCCAGCGCCTGGCAATTTCTTCTCCAACAGGGAGATGAAAGCCTGCGCGAACAGGTGGCAGAGCTCTCGCCCGCACAGGTGCGCCGGCTGATCCGCGCCTTCGCGGACGGCCTGGTCGACATTGCGTCCAGGTCGGGCACCGCCAGCGCTGCCAGCGCACAGCTCTCCGCCTGCACAGCCTGCACCTGCCCAGCCCGCGGCTCCGCCCGCAAGCGAGTCTTGGCTGTAAGTTGGCACCGTCTTGCCTGCATTTGGGGGTGGTTCTTTCGTGCTTGATTCGGGCGGTCCAGCCAGCCAGCCCGCACAGGCTCAGACCTTTTGCGCGGGGCCCGCGCCGCAGCCTGCACAGCCCCCCGCACAGCCTGCCCCCGCCCCCCAGCCTGCACCCGACCAGCCCGCAAGCTCCTCTGCAGTGCCGCCGCCACCGGTGCCCGAGGTCAAGCGCATGCCCGGCCAGCAACCGGGGGCCGACACGCCCATCGAGCACCTCTACGGCCCCCCGCCCGCCCGCGGCTACGCCCCAAGTCCGCCCGCCCTCCAGCTTCCCGCACGCAACGCCCGCCGGCAAAGGCAAGCACGGCAAAGGCGCGCAGGCAGAGTGGGTGATCGACATCGATGTGCCTGCGGCAGAGTTTTCTGAGCACAACGCCCGCCTTACGCCTGCCTGCT